AGAGCTGCTGCTGCTGCCGCCGCCGCACCCGCCGGTGTTGCCGGGTTCCCAGCGGGTGTTCAGGTGATGTGTTCCACCTCACTCCGTCGTACCTCCCCCGCTTTTTTAAAAGGGCGATGGCTCGCTGTAGGTGGGTTTGTGGCTGTCTGCATGTAGCATCTGAGTTGTGGGCTGCGCGATTTGTTTGGGGGTTTGGGCTGTCAGCAAGCGCCATGGTAGCGTGGCTGAAAATGAGAAGGCACGTGGTCAGTTGTTTGCTTTCCGGGATTGCACGGTGCAATAGTGGTGTGGATTTGAAGCTGCTATTCTAGTATTAACAGCTAAATCGTTCTTAGTAAAATGTTTCAGACTGACAGCTATTATGAGATATGTCTTACCCTTGTTGTCAACCCTAACATATCAGAGGAATGACAGGCCTATGCCTGTCATCTCCATGATTCCTGCCTACTGCTTGGGAAAAGGGAGATGCTTAATTCCTGCACCTTTCAATGGCATCTTGGACATGTTGCTTCATTTTTCTGTGGCATAGAGTGGGGAGCAATTGCAGCTTTGTAAGTATGAAGGTTATCACTAGGATAGGGGTAACTGTGAGATGAATAGACATAAGGATATTAGCAACTTGGTCCTAAGTATAAATATGTGTTTGGTTTTAATATTGAATTTGTGGTGTTTTTTGCTCAGACCTGAACAATACAATAATTATTAATTACAACAATAAATGATACACTGTCAGCAGTACTGCTAATCTGTCAGGAAGCTAATTCTCATTTCTGTCAATAAAATTTATTGAGTTCTAATTTGGAATGGAACATAGAAACTATGAAGAGAACTTTGTATTCATTCTAGCATCTGTGTGTGTGTACAGGTAGCAAAACAATTTAAATTTTTTTTTTTTTAAAAGATTAAAAAATATAATGGCTGTTATCAAAACAAAATAAGCAGCTTGCATGAAGTTAGACTTCTTTACCAGTTTTCCCTTCCCTTCCTAACATGCTCTTATGTAATATTTTGGTGAGTCTTAAGACTTTTGGCTTTGCTGTGTTTTGTTGATTTTGAACTTGTTCATGGATAAAGCTGTAAACTTGTAACTTCCTTGAATGAATAGATTCTTGATCTTTTGCTTACATAACAGAATGTATTTTTCTGTTTTTGCTTTCTGTATCCTTGTCTTTAAAAAAAAAAAAAAAGGGTTATGGTTACAATGTTTATGTCTAGTCAGTAGTACTGATTAGTTAAAATTACCCATTTTATTTAATATTGGAATCATGGAGAAGGCATTTCTTTGGTGTTATAGACCTTGGGTTTATGTTATACACTGGACTAGTTATATTTTCATTGCATTTGTAAAACAGACTGTTGCGTACTTTAAACCTGCTTATCTTGAACCTCCATTTTTAAAAAGGTCTTTTTTTAGGTAGGTGTCACAAGATTTGCCTGAAAAAAAAATATTAGAGAACGTGGGGTTTTTTGTTTTATACTCTGTGACAGTTCTTTCATCTCTGAGTGAGAAAAGCTGGCAAGATTTTCGTGGTACATAGCCCAAAACAGCCACTGTACTATTTAAGCATCCAGTCCAAATGTGCATTGTTTGCTTTTCCTCTGCTTAGGCAGTGGGTGTGCTTATATTAGCTAAGCTTGCTGTGGCATTCCCATTGCCAGCCAACCCAGGGACAGGTCCTGTATCGGGATCAATATGATCAGTTTTCATGTTGATGAGTTAGAGTCCAAATAAACCCCCCAAAAATCAAACACCGATCCCAAGCAGTTGTTACCAGGAATGCTATGGTGAAAGGAAACTGCATGTTTCAGTAGATTGACTCACCTAGAGCTGTCGGTAGCATAAAAGCACATCTGCCAGACTCAGTCAGGTGATTTACTGTATGTGGCATGAAGTCAGTTGTTCCTTTTCCTCACAAAACAACTTTTAAAACACTTGGCTCTCTGCATATTATCTTGACAGGTGACTATGCATTTGTTCATGGAACTTAGGATCTGCAGAGACAATCCAGCAACAAACCAGTTCCATTATTCAGGTCTGCCCCAGAGCTCTACCTGCTTACCCTTCTCACTCTCCTTTGCTCCCTCCTCTTTCTCTCCTTCACTCCCATTCCCCAACCTGATTAAACTATAACTTCATTCTGTAATAAACCCAATATGGTTTAGCTGAGCCAGGCAATTGGACAACTGGATTTGGCTTACTTAAACTTTTCTTTTAAATGTGAGCAGTTGCTGTATTTTATTTGGAGTAAAGGTTTCTGAATATTCCTTTCTCTTTACAAGTAAAAAGTAATCTAAGCTTGTGGAATAAATAACTCCCGAATTTTTTGGTGTTGTAGACCAGTGACATACAAGAGAAGCCAGTATGACTGGACATGTCTTTGAGTTTCATCAGTTGCTGCAACATTCACTACCTGTTTGTATTTGAACTACAGATGGGTTGGTCTGTGGCAAGCTCATTTTATGTTATTGCTCACACAGATGCATCCCTCTTGTCCTAAAGCTCCTTCTAGGAGCACAGATACAATTGTTCATGTTGGAGGTCATAGTGTATTGGACCTAGCAGCTATTCTCTAGATTAGCCACTCTCCAGACTGCCTGCGCTGCACATGCTTTTCGTGATCAGCAAAATATCCTTTTGGATTTTCAGTATCAGACTTTATTCAAAGATGTGCAGCGGCACAAAATAATGGCTGGATCAAGCAGCCTAAGAATTCTTAGCTCAGTTTACAGCAAAGGCAAGCAACAGGGACATTTTGGTGTGCCTCTTGATTCCAGCAGGTGGAACTAGATGCCTGTTCGGAATAAGCCTGATGTATTTCATCATTTAGTAAGGGATGGAGGGGGAAGCTTCCACATAGAAGGCTTCAGAAGAGTTAGAATTCAATTAATGGTATGTCAGCATTCCTAGAGTAGTCTTAGCAGGTAATCTAGTATCCTACAAGTTTGTTTAATATGCAAAAATAGGTTTTGTCTACAACCATTGTAACTTGACTATAACAAAATGGCTATGGAGATGCTAAGATTGAGCTTTCCTTCACAGATGTAGTCCTGGAGGTGTTAGTCCTAGACAGATGTTTTCTGTCTTGCACGGATACCTTGGGTCATGGTATTCCAGGACCTGTTGTTTTTTGTTATTTGTTTGGGGTTTTTTACTATTTCTCTGTCTCTTAATGTAAATACCTTATTATCAAAAAGAAAAGAGAAGGAGAGTGCCTCTATGGGGCAGAAAGAAACAGAGGCAGAAAGTCTCTGACAGTCAGTCAGCCTGTGGGGAAGTTTTGATTTTTTTTTTTTTTTTTTTTAGAAGGGGATAATTTGGGATTTTATCTAAAATATGTCCCTCTTGAAGAAAGGGGGTTTGATTTCTCTAATAAAATTGCAATTTACTTTGGTTTTAAGTATTCAGTTATGATACCAACAGTTTAATTAAGCATTAGTAAATTAAAATATTTGTATTTCCTTCATTGCACTTAAGTGGTGAATAACAGTAAACAGTTAGTCTTGGAACAAGGTGTGATAGAGTTGGGTTTGTTATGTTTTTATAACTGCACCTTTACCTACATAGGGGTTTAGGTCTACTTTTAGAATTGGCGTTCGTTCCTCCTCTGTATTGGTTTCTTAGCTGGATGTAAGAATTGTCTGCCTTATTCCTTTCTTTTGGATTCAAGCAGATCTTTCGTATTCAGAAGTTACAGGTTCTTAACTATTTGGAAAAAGTTGCAGTTCTTTAACAAAACATAATTCAGCACTCTGTGGATCATGCTTTTACAAATACAGTGTTGCACTTAAGTGTCATTCAGCTGGTATTATGAAATATTTCCCATAGGATCAGTGTTGAGGTATTGAATGTTCATAGCTTGTAGGGTTTCCTGCTAGATTTTTCTCTTTTAATAAAGAATGTTATATTTGTATGTAAGATGAAACTCTGCTCTTAACAAATGGAATACAAATTTCCTTGCTGTAGAAATTACCCATATGATTGACATTTCTGTTGTTGTCTTACACTCTGGTCCATAGCAAGTGGACTAGAAGTCTGTTGTAAAGTTCCTGTTGTGAAGTAATAGCTGACATATTGCAGTTCAGGACTACTAGAGAGCTTGAAGATTTCTGTGGCACCTTCTTGTTGCTTTCTATTTATTTTTCATCTTTCAGCTCCGCGAAGAAGTTACCACTGGAGTTACTACTCACAGAAGTACTGTCTTGGCAAGTGTAATTGCTGCTTGCAGAAGGCTTTTCTCTCAACCTCCCAAAGGTGATTATAACTTTGATCAGTGAAGTGAAGCAGACTGCATTCCTTGCTGAGGACTGCCCTTGTGTGCCATTTAAGTTTATTGTCTGGGGGGAAGTAAGTTCTTGTACTGACCAGCCATTAATCTTGAGATGGAACATTGATTTATGAGACTTTTAGGAGGTACTAAAGAATGACTGCCATTTGCTCAACTTCACACTATGCAATGCAATTTTCTCTTGACCTAAGCTTGTTTATCTCTGGTTTAAAAGTTAGCTTTACTTTAGGTTATGAAATAAATTTGATATTTTCTTGTCAACAGTGGTAGATTTATTTATGGGAACCTGGTAGAGCTCTTCAACAAAAAGACAAAAACAAAACCATTTTTGCAGTCTATATGTTGCTAGCTTCTTTGCTGTTGTATACATTCAGCTTGCGACCTCTGAAGTGTCAAACAATGGAATTATAAACTAAAAAACAATTATGAGCTCTTTAACTCTTTCTTAATAGGATTTGAAAAGTATTTTCCCAATGGGAAGAAAGCTAATGGAACTAAAGGTACAGCTGGAGAAACAAAAGGTACAAAAAGCTGCTTGGTTTCGGTTCTTTTTGTGGAATGTGTAGTCATTAAATTAGACTGTGGCTTTGGGTTTTTTGTTTATTTTTCAGGCAAGATGTTTCACTACCAGATTAGTTTAAAAGTGGGAATTTATATATTTTTATTAAATGTTATTCCAGAAGATATACATTATATGAAAGCAAAATAACATTTATTTTCTCATATGATTCTGTTGGAATGCTGTCCTTAAATTCTCGTTTTAATATTTCCTATTAGTTGACATAGTCATGCATTCAGAGATATTCTATGTGTATAGTTCTTGGCTTTTGTTATATGGGATAACCAGAATTGTTACTCTGTGTGAGGATCCAGAACCAGCTCTTTAGCCAGGACCAACCATGTAGCCTGCTGCTTCAAAGAGGAGTGAGTAGTGGCAATGCTAAAAAGAGCCCTATCTTTACAAGGGGAATCATGAATCTGGAAATTATTAACAGTAACAGCCACTCTGTTGCATCAGAAATCTATATGATGCATCTTCAAGGAGAACGAGAGGCAGTAACCCCGTGAGCCTCTTATGAGAGCGGTAATAGGAGCAGCAGCTTTCTTTCCGCTAGGTGTCAAATGGTAAAATCTGGTGTCAGGCCTAGATCCCCAAAATGCCAAGGTATTGAAAGAGCTGGGGTTGGAAGGAGCATGTCTTAGTGTTGTGCTCTCTCTCACCCTCTTGAGTATGTTGACATTATGCTGTGCTGTGCAGGCACCTTGTGAATTGGATGAGTAGAAGAATGATGAAGATGAACTCAGCTACAGTTGGCTGTTCCTGTGCTGTGCTTATCTCTAGAATATTAAAAGGGATACTCCACCTGTGATACCAATAATAAACCCTGAGCTTTAAGAGCACCATAGTATGACTGGAGGGGTAAATATGGGAGGAGATGTTATTTAGAGCTTGTGGTGTTTTTAAAACAAACAAAAAAAATCCAAACAACCCAACCCATCCCCACCTACCCCCCTCCCAACCAACAAAAAAACCCACCAGTCTCCCCCTCCCAACTCCCAACAAAGTGCTTAGAATAATCTTGCACGTGGCTTGGATTAGTGCAGTTGAAATAAATTTCATGCAGTCTCTATAACAGGCTTCTTTTTATATTTGGGACATTTTTCAGTTCTTGTTGTCTCAGTGTCACCAGTTATGCAATTAACAGACCTTTCTTCTGATCATAGCTGTATGAGACAGATGTGTCTCTGCCAATTAATGGACTATATATCTGTTTTTCTATGGGAAATGTGGTTTCTCACATCCTAATTATTGTAGCATTGCAAACTAGTTCATTTTTCAGAACAACTCTTTAGTATGAGATTGGTATAAGATGTAAAGATGTGTTTTTCTGTCATTGTTATGTTTTGTTTTTGTTAGAAGCAAAGCAAGCTAGTCCCCGACAGCCTAGTGGGACTAGTAGTGGAGGAGGTGGCAGTGGTGGAAAAAAAGGTGGCAAGAAAGAAGAAACTAACTGGTGGACCAGATTACAGAAGGTCTTGACTTTAAAATATCTTTCTTTATGGTACTACCTGTCCTGTCCCCATGAAATAACCTTGGATATTTTTTTTCCGCTTTTTAGGGCCATATTCTAATTGCCTAAACCTCCTTAAGCCTCCTGTGCCTAGTAGTTCGTAGTAACTGGCTCTAGGTGGCTCCCCACTCAGTGCCTTTCATAAATAACAGTTTTGTATATACATTCAGAGGCATCTAACACTGGTTCAGGAATGTTAATGGAGCTTTAAGCTGTATAAATATGGTTGCTAGTAGTCAGTATTCTTATAGTGGAGCCTCAGGCCTTTAAAGGCTTCCTATTTTGTTTCAGAATGTCAGTTTGTAAAACTTGTTGACCGTACAATGCTAGTTAAATGTAGTTTAACTGTTAGCTGTTCTGTCCTTAATTACTGTTAGCCATTGTGACCTTCATAGAATACTTACGTAAGTTCCTTTTTGAAATTTGTATTTATTGTCATTAGCTGTAGCACGAAGGTTGTAGCATCTGGCAATACAAGAACATGAATATTTTTCTGGTTTTACTTAGTGGGAATAATGTTTTTTTCCCCTCATTCCTGGGATTTTCTTCTTAGTGGTTTGGTGGGTTTTTTTGTTTGTTTGTTTGTTTTTGTAGGTCTTGCACATAGTCCTGGAAGGCAGGAAAAATTATTTTAGAACGGAGAGAGAAAGGTCATATAAAAGATGGCAAAACTTTTTTTTTATAAAAGTAGTTCCTAGATCAAAACAGTTCAATTTCTATTTGTAAAACACTTCAGACTTTCTACTAATGTTGTAATTCCTCAGTTATATCTGAAGTTACTGAAGCATGTTCATACAACAAAATACAGCTTGCTTTGACATTCTGTGTGGTAACCTTGAGGGCAGGGAATAGAAGCCAGAAATAGATATTAGAATCTGTTTGTTATGTTCTTACTGTGTAAGAAGCTGTTATGTTCCTACTGTATAAGAGTCTAAAGCCTTTTTTTTCTTCCATTTACTAGGGTGACATTCCGTGGGATGTCAGGGAGTTTCGGATGTACGTAGTGGGAAGTTCTTTCTTCTGGACAATGGTTGTATATTACTTCTTCTTCAGGGTCCCTGGGAGAGAAATCACATGGAAAGACTTTGTCAATAACTACCTTTCTAAAGGAGTGGTGAGTAGTGAGGGGAATCAAAATAGAAAATCAGTGTGCTGAAGATGCTTATTTCTGCCTCCCCACTTATGCTTGTATTCATGTACCTGTGGAGTGAGAACTGTCTCAAAAGTAACTTTGGAGGGAGAAGGGGATCAGCTTTCATCCTTTCATTTCTTAATCAGTTCCTTGATCTGATGTTCTGGATGGCTGTATGAAGATTTGTGTCAGTTCGAGAGAGGAGAGGGAGTGAGCGGCTCAGGACAGAACTTTGTTGGATAGCTTGTGTTGATGCTAGTTTGAAGAGGCAGTGTAACCACAGTCTCTCAGCATATGGTCTTATAGTACAGGTAAGCTGACATAATGGCTTAAGCAGACAGACAAGCTGCTCTCAGAAGAAACTTACTTCTAACCTTAAGCACTTCCATGAGCCCACCCCCCTGAAAAAAAAGTGTCCTGCTTGTTTCGCGCCTTAAACCAGTTCCTCAGGGAAGCTGAGGAGCAGCAGTGCAAACAGAAAGGTGGGGGTCGGCAATCAAAGGATCCCTTCCAAGGACTGTAAATTGGCATAACTGTGTTGTAAATTAGCCTCCTTTTATTTGTTTCCTCTTCTCTTATTTCTTCTTTCCTTCTTACCTGGAGCCACTACTGGAGCAGTCAATTTTATTGTCAGTGTCCTATCTCTCTGTAGAACTTGGCAGCTTTCCTCACTTGGAATAATAGGTTGGTAATGCCTTGAAGTTCAGGAGATAGTGTCTTACACAGGCCTTTTCCACTCCAGGAGCCACTAGTTTTTTGTTTGTAGTTTCACCTGCAGGTTAGGAAAACATTGGCGTCCTCTTCTAGGTTTCAGACCTGGGATTTTGTGTTAATAGCATGCTTCCTACTCCTCCATTACTTTGGTAAACTGCTAAATAGGTTGTTTCCTACCTTTCTTTGTCTTCCTGATCTATGCAGAGCTTCTCTGTACGCTTTTCCCCTTCTGCCTAGACAGTCCTGTTCTTAAGTGACAATTATGTATGCATCTTGTCGAAAAAACCCTTACTGATTATATTTGTTGTGAAGCAGTAAGACACTAGCTCAGTAGGAAGATTAGTTTAGCTGTTATAGTGAACGAAGCCTGAACCCTTGTTGCAGAAGAGCATTATGAAAGTGGGTTGTTGCACAAAACCAAGTCTCTTGAGCCTTTGTAATATGTAGCCTGGATATTCAGATAAGCTAAATATATAGCCATCAAATGCTGTTGGTTGCCATAGTGGTGGCCAGTTAATGCGGAGAAGACATCAGCACTACTGAGGTTATACGCTTTTAAAAAAAAAGTTCAGGTAGTTTTGCATGAAGTCAGGCTAGCTCGAGTGGCTTCTTAGCTCATGTTTTGCTTCAGTTCTGCCAGAAATGGCCACATGTAGTGAGTTCAGGAAACCTTACTAGTCTGTGTGCAGTTCAGGCCTAACTTGTAGAACCGTTGCTAGTTTTAACTGGTTTCAGCATCTTAAGGGAGTTTATTTTATGGAAGGAAAGAAAAAATGGAAAGAAACTTCAGTTGCCTTCCGAAGAGACCCTGTCAAATTTAAGAAACTAACCATTTGAGACTTCTATCAATGCCTCCCCACTCCCTGCTTAATAGTAGATATCTGCAAACTTGCAGCTCAATTCTTGATTTTAGTTCATATGGTATTTGTTACCTCAAGTAAATTCTTCTTCATCTAATTGATGTTCTTGTGTTTTAATTTGGTAGCACAGGAATTCTTTTATATTAGGGAAGACAATTGTAAGAGCAAAGTTAAGTTTTCTCATTCTGTTCAGTTTGGTTGTTTTTGTTTTGGAAGCTTCTACAAGAGTTTGGAGTTGTGTGGTCTATTGCTTTTGTTGTTTGAGCATTGAAATAGTTAAGTATTGTTTAACTATTTCACTGTACTTGTAATTTGAGCTAAGGTGTGCACTGGGATTTTCTCCTTGGAAAAGGGTGTGAAGTCATCCTTTCAGTCTAAATTCTAATGTGCTAGTATTCCTTGCTTACTGATTACATACGTGATTCCTCATGCCATTCCTAATGGCCAAACTGTAGATTGTGGAACTGTCCTGATCTACAACATGAATTTTACTCTCCTTACTGGAAAACAGAGCAGGTTTGTATTTGTTACATGTAGCTGTTAGCTGTGATGGAAGTGCAGTGACTGTACACTCTGAACACATCACAAGTTTTGTTCTTTCTTCCTACAGGTGGACAGACTTGAAGTGGTGAACAAGCGCTTTGTTAGAGTGATCTTTGTTTCGGGAAAGTCCCCTCATGAATGGGTAAGCCATTTTAATACATACACATGAGACATTAGAAACAGCAAAGCAATCTTTTTAGGTAAAGTTTCATGCAGAAAACTTGGTCTGGAGCATTAATAATCTCTTAATCTAAAACATGTTTTTCTGCCTTACTGTTACATTATCCTACATTGTGTGTTTCTCGCTTTGCTGTACCGATTGTTTTGCCACAGATACCATAAAACTATGGCAAGCAGTTCCTTTCTAGCACCCTGCTCTTAATACAAACACACAAACAAAAAGAGTGAGAAACTGATGAAGGTTCTATATTTTTAACTTCTGTTTTCTACCTGCTCAAGAAAATCACCAACTTAACTGTACATACTTTTTGGATCTTTTCTGTTCCAGACTGCTTTTATCCAGTTATTTGAAAAACAAAGAGAAATGTTTAACTTTGTTTCCATTTGAGACTAGAATTTTTAAAATTAAGCTGAGAGCTCTCATCCTTGAGAAAAGTACTTATTTCAGGGAGTTACTTTTCTAGTAGCACAACGAGGAACAGGCTGATGCAGGTGAAAGTTCTCCAAAGAGTAATACTCAGTGGCAGGGACCTTTTCAAAAAAACTTTAAAAAAAAAAAAAAAATTGGAAAATTTAGAAGAAGTGTTAGAGAAGCTTTATCAGGTTACCTCTTCCTAGGTGGTAGAGTTGTTTCTAACTTACTTTCTGAAAAAAAGGTCTGCAAGTCCCTCTGGGGTAAAGTGAAATCTACAGCAATTACTTCATCAGTGGGTTTCAGTGTGACTTATTTATACACCTACTCTTTAGCCCACATATCACCAGTTGCTTTAGTTTCTCAATCATTTAATACTTATGACTACTCTCTCTTCCCCTCCCCCCCCCCCCCCCCTTTTTCAGTATTAGGGTAAGTAAGGGCAAGTCAGGCAGGTCATGGTGCAAAAGGGGAGATTTTCTTAAAAAAAAATCAGATCTCAACGCTGTTTGAAAGTAATATCTGGATTATTTTTTTTTCTGGTGTATTTTATAAGTTCATGCTGTCTTTTGTGAAGATAGCTAACTTTAAAGCTAATATGGACTCCAGAAGTAGAGAATTGCCTTTCTTAATCAGAAAGGCGAAGACCTTCAGGTGAAACAGTAAGTTGTATGACTGCTGTGTTTGCTGGTTCAGTGCTCCGTATTATTCTGCCTTCTAGCTGCCTTCTAAAGATCTGTTTACCTATTCTCCTTCCTTTTGTTCCTGGAAAAAATGCCAGGATTTCACTTTATTTAAAGTGCCCCGAAACTATTGGATGTATGACTTCTGCAGAAACAACGACAGATACAATATATTCAGGTTGGCAGGCCTTAGATTTGTTAGGAGTGTCTTACATCAGTTACACACTTTACAAGGCAACTTAAACTTGGTCTGAATCTGTTCTGAGAATTGCATGTGTATGTGTTAGAAGCAGCTGGCTTGTAATGAAGCTGAAATAAGATAGGGCACTTTGTGGTGATCTCTGCTTTTTTTTATAGCAGTACGTCTGGTTTAATATTGGTAGTGTGGACACTTTTGAACGGAATCTTGAAACTGTGCAGCAAGATCTGGGAATAGAAGTGGAGAACAGATTGCCTGTAGTCTACTCAACAGAGAGTGATGGGTAAGGAGTTGCTTTTAAAAAAGTGTCGATTAAAAAACGGTTGTGTTTACAGTAGAAAAGTAGACTTGTAAAAGACGCACCTTATGCTTCACTAGGTGGCAGTATTATCAGAATAACAGTCATCTTGGTTTTGATTTTGAGTGTTAACTCTAAGAGGAGCTCTTTAGTACTTTGTCTGCCTAGAAATCCATGTCCTCTTACTCTAAATATAGCTTCTTAGTACATAAATGTTTCTGTTTACAATTAGTCCTTCCTTCTTTTAAGCCCTTCCTCCAAGTGACTTGTGCTTGGCTGACTCCTGCTTTAGTACAGTAGTAGAGCTCCAGAGATGGCACTCATGCAGATTTTTGAATGGACAAAATATGGCGTAGAACTACAGCGTATTGGCTGAGATGTAACAGGCACCACTTTCTGCCCATAAATTCAGAAGTCAAATTCTGTGGCCTTGCAAAAAGGCAAGAAACTGGTGATTAAGTAAATCACACTGTCCTGCCTGTTAGCAGGAGCTGGAAGATGCATCATGCTTTTAATCTCGAAATAGATTAAGAAGAATAGGACTGGCATTGGTTTTACAGCATTGTTGTATTGGGGAAGCATTCCCTTTCACCAGTAGGGAATAATGGCTCCAATACTAGATTTGTGTTCTTTGTATTAGTCTTATGTTACCGAGTTTTATTGATCTGGACTTTAGAAGAGACTGGAAGCGGTTCTCTGATGTGGATTTCTGAATGGCTTGAGAGACACATGTAACCTTGTATCCCAAGAACTGATTTCTTTTATCCAAGTCAGCAGTTTGAAAATTACTCCTGCTGGTGTCTGTGAAGGAGGTTTTATACCATCAGGAAATTCAAATTCAGGTGTAGTAGCTCGTATCACTAACCATAAAGGCTCATTTGCTGCCTCTCTTGTGTTTTCATTCTTGATACTGTGGTGTGTTTCAGTTTTTGGGGATGGAGGGGAAGTGCTGAAGTAAACAAAACTGTTTTTTACCAAGCTGCTGCTGCCTATTTGTTTTGGTGGCAACAGGAAAAATGGTAGCCTTACTTCTGGACCATCCTGTGACTTTAGATAGAGGTTTTCTGTTTCCTGTTCTTCTATAAACTCTTTCTGTCTCATTTCCATGATTCTGTCTAATGGGGCATGCTCTTAAGGACGGTCCAGAAATAAACGTGTTGAGCCCTTATTTAAACAAATCTGGAAAAAAATGAGTGGACAGGGCAATGCTGTGCTTAGGTGAAGAGGCTGCATGTCAGCTTGAGGCTTCTCACAGCAGACTGCGAGAAGTATGCCAGTTCCCGTGTCTTCTTCAGCCTCGCACAAGTCTCTTACTTGCTGAACCCCTCTTTCTGACCACAGTCTCTGGCCCTTTCCCCCTTAGCGTCTGTTCTTCACAGAATACATTGCCTGTAACTTCTTGCTCTGCTCCAGAAATGCTGCAGGAAACAGATGAGAGCAGCAGTTATATGATCAGAGTACTTCTATTCCCTGCTGGATCAGAATCTGCTGAATACCATAGGAGAGGGAAAAATCCTTCTTTTTCTCTTCATCCCAGAAATGCAGGATATGAGTAAAGCCTGGAAATCTTGTGCTTACTTAAGGTAGTGCTTCTTTTCAGCATCTTGTTTTTGCTGAGTGTTGGCAGAACCTCTTGTGAACTGTTCCTTGAAGGTCTTGCCACAGAAAAATCTGTGCAGTGCTCAGATACTATGATAATGAGGACTGTGTTAGCATTAGGATTTTTGGCTTTGTACAGAGCTGTGCTAGAAAGCTGGAGGATAGACAGTGAAGGATAATGGGCAATGAGTAATCAAAAAAACACAACAAAAAAACCTCTAGCCTTGGGGAAGGGAAATAGAAGCATTGAAAGAAGAAAATATAACAATTAAAAGACCTAGGAGAAGAAGAGGGGTCTCTGTTTTTGGAGAGAAGTTTCTGCTTGAAGTTCTAGCATGCACCAATTACATGCTACCTAATGCAACTTATTTTGAGGATGTAACCATTTTCATAACTAGTCCTGTGAATTTACCTTTGAAGGGGACAGAAAATGAGCTACTTCTGTTTACTAGGTAATGCAGTTTTCCTCTCTAAAACTTGTCAATGTCACTTGGTGATGTGCTTGGTTTAAAAACAATTTGTTCTCAAATTTATTTTGGTTATTTCCCAGTGTGAACAACCTGCAAAATGTAAACATTACAAGTTAATAGAATATTATTCCTGAATTTGTCCACTTATGATGGAACCAACATTTTGTACGTTATATGCAGTAATGGATTTTTGTAATATATATGGTTTTCTGTTTTGTTTGCTTTTTTTCCACAGATCATTTCTCCTGAGCTTACTGCCTACAATCCTGATTATTGGTTCTTTACTGTACACATTAAGAAGAGGTCCTGCAGGCTTGGGTCGAGCAGGGCGTGGAATGGGTGGACTTTTCAGTGTGGGTGAAACCACAGCCAAAGTCCTTAAGGATGAAATAGATGTTAAATTCAAAGATGTAGCTGGCTGTGAGGAGGCAAAATTAGAGATAATGGAGTTTGTTAACTTTCTGAAAAATCCCAAACAATATGAGGATCTCGGAGCAAAAATTCCAAAGGTAAGGGAACAATGACTTGGCAGATAAAGTCTTTATTCTTGTGGTAGTCCCCAGTATTCTAAATTGTATTAAGAGTGTTTACATATGCAATGCTTTCCAGCTTCTTTCTTCTCACAGTCAGAAAAAAATAAATAGGTATTAAGTGCCAATAGTATCACTGTGGTGCCAGAAGATCTGCCTTGTGGAATACTTCACATGTTCACATGGGTCAGAAATCACAGAATCACTAAGGTTGGAAA